TTTCAATAGCTTCTTCCGGCACCCTTTTTCGTCCGGCTTTTCCCTAGGCTGTTTGCTAGTCTCTCTCTCCAGTAATTTCCCAGTTCTTCCCGTTTCTTCCCTCCTAAGTTTCCTATCCGTCCTAGGTTTCCTATCCGAGTCACGGCACCATTATGTCGCTCCCCCTCTTCGTGGAGGAGCAACACTGAACCCTGCGCTGTTCTTTCATCTGCTCGGCCCTCCCCGGGTTTGCTGCTGGTTCTTCCCGGGTTGGCTACTATCCCTTCCACCTCCGTGGAAGGGCAGTTCCCCCTGGCCGCATTCCCCACTTCCGCAGGGGAGCGGCACACCGCCGGCCGGCTCTTCTCGGGGGCTGCACAGGTGTTCCTTCAGCTACATGTTCCCCTTAGATGTTCCCGGTGCATGCCATCTCTCTCCTCCTTTATAGTCCTCCTCTGCCAATCCCAACTCGGCTGCCCACACGCCGAGTACGCTGCTCTCCTCCAATCAGGAGCAAGTCCTACAGTTCATTAGCTGAACTGGAGGCAGCTGTGTAGAAGCTGTTTACTTCTCTCCCAGCGCCATATTGTGGGAGAGCAGATGCATAGAATAAGTCTTAATTCCAGTAACTTAGTCCAGTCCGGATTGCTCCCCACAATTTGAAAGGCAGAGTGACACAGAGTAGGAGAGACAGAGGGAGAACTTCCATTTGCTGATTGACTCCCCCAGATGCCTGCAAAAGATAGGCTGGTCCAGGCTGAAGCCAGGAGACACAACTCCATAAGGATCTCCCACATGAGTGGCAGGAGCACAGCCATCTGCTACCTTCCAGATGTAATAGCAGGAAGTTGGATGAGAAGTGGGGGCAAGACGCAATACCAGGCACTCCCGTATGAGATGCAGGGATCCCAAGCAGAAGCTTAACCCATTGCACCACAACCCCCAGCCCTCAGCTCATTTTTCTTACCTCCATAACTTTGCTCTTACTGTTATCTATTCCAGGTATCAATGTCCTTGGCCCCTTTTTCACCCTACCAATCCTTATGGATCTTCAGGTTTCTGCTCCATTATCTCGGTCTTGATTTCTCTCCACTACAATCAGATTTGCACTCCAACTAGGAATCCATGTCCATGTTGAAAGGATATCCTCAAAGGAAAACTAAAGCACACTACAAGTCTGTTTCAGTTGTCTGAGTATTACATTTTCCTAGGGCTCTTCCACCAAACCAATTTTAAAAAGCAAGAGTCATACATGGAAGTGATTAAGCCTTGAAAATGTACCCTTTGTTCCCCAAGTCCTGTTAATTACCACTTAGGAGCATCTTATTTGCAATGTACTGAATTACTTAGGTAACCAAATAGCTTCTTACTGATCTGACTGTGCATCATTTGCCTAATAACAACTAATAAACGCTGTGGCACAGTTCTGTGGATAGTTTACTCCCAGAAATAGGTTTATTTAAGATTGAGCTACAAGGGGAAGAATAGATGTTAGTAGAATGCATCATAATTTTTCCTGTAGTCACTTAGATCTAGAGAAACATGTTAATATTTCTCATTATTTTTTACATTAAGACATAAATTAGCCCAAACACCGTATCAAGCAACTCCAACATCCATTCCATTTCATTTATTCTGTCCATTCTTGTTGAGAAAAGTTCCGTGACATTTTATTTACTCAGTCACCACCCCTAACTCTCAAATCCATGCTCAGATCTGACCTTCCCAGTGAGAATTCCTCTGCAACCCAGAACTATCATGAGATTTTTCTTCTCCAGTTTTGGGCACCTTTTGTTGTAGTTTGCATGTGCCTGCCAATGCTTTGCATTGTTGTTACCTGTAGAGAAGTCAACAAGGAGAGACAAGAAGAGAGGCAAAGATTGGGAGGCAGTGGACCATACCATGTGAATGGTCTAGGAAAACATGCGGAGAAAGAGACATATTCACTAGATATGAAAGATAGGCATCCTATAGGCTGATAAATAGGGAATTCATTCCAAGCAGAAAGAATGCATATCTCAAAGCATGGATTTGTGATCAATATGGTGTCCATGGCGTCCAACATTAAAATGCCAACTGGGGACTTGACAAAAGGTAGCAGTTTTTTGGTGTTGTTGTTTTTTTTTTTTGTTTGTTTGTTTGTTTGTTTGTTTTTTTGACAGGCAGAGTTAGTGTGAGAGAGAGACAGAGAGAAAGGTCTTCCTTCTGTTGGTTCACCCCCCAAATGGCTGCTGCAGCCGGTGCACTGCACTGATCCGAAGCCAGGAGCCAGGTGCTTCCTCCTGGTCTCCCATGCAGGTGCAGGGCCCAAGCACTTGGGTCATCCTCCACTGCCCTCCCTGGCCACAGCAGAGAACTGGACTGGAAGAAGAGCAACCAGGACAGAACCGGCGCCCCAACTGGGACTAGAACCTGGAGTACCGGTGCCGCAGGCAGAGAATTAACCTAGTGAGCCATGGCACCGGCCAAAAGGTTGCAGTCTTAGTCTACCAGGTGCCACTAAAACAGAACACCACCCCTGGGTTATTTATGCACATACACATACCAGCATGCAGTCCTGGAGGCTGGGAAGCCTCGGGTCAAGGTGTCAGTGGGTTTGGCCTCTGGGGAGACAACTGTCTTCTTCCAAGGTGTTATCTTGCACGCTTCCAGGATCCTAACATGGCTAAAGGACAAAGGGCAAGAATGCAACCCCCTCTTCCAAGTCTGTATTATAAAGATGTTCATCTCTTTTTGAATGTGCCCTAAACATCTCCCATGAGGCCCCACTCCCAACAATGACACATTGGGGATTAGGCTTCTAACACATACATTCTGTAAAAATCATAGCAGTAGGTAAAAGCAGATTGTGAATAGCTTTTATGCCAAGCTGGGGGCCTCAGACTTTATCCTGCTGAGAGCGAAGAGCCAGAAAAGGGAGGTTTACCTGCCCAGGTCTCTGAAGATGCAAGCATGTGGATGGAGTGGCTCTGTTCATCAAAGGACCCAAAAAAGAAAGACTGACAGAGTAGGGAATGAATGGATAGAAGAAAGACAGGGGTGCATGTCTATACATCAGGGGATAAAACAGAACAAAACAGCAAGGACTTAAAGAAGAAAGGAAAAAGAAAAAAAAATAATTAGGTAGTGAGACAGTGAAGATTATGAACACTGACACTCAAGAGTCTGGGTTAAAAGCTTGCCTTTACCCTTAACTCCTGACTTAGAATCTTAAGAGTTATATACACTGCTTTATAATATCCCTTTAACCATGTTCAATGTTGTATACATGCCTGCATTGAGAGTTATAATTGCCTCAAACCACAAAGCCTATGTACAAAGATGTGAGTGTTCGGGATGCTGAGTGACAGGTGCTGGAAACCTCTTTGTACTATTTTTGTGACTTCTCATGAACCTTTAATTATTCTAAAATAAAAAGTTGTTTATGTCTGTGTTGTGGGGGGAAAAGGGCTTTCAAAACCACTGTGACGATTCATTCAACAACTGCGTCCTTACACCTCCACCTACATGCCATGCCCTATCGAGATGCTATGCTCCCCTCTGTTCCGTTATTAATAAACCTCGTTTTCCAGTATTCACAAAAGTAATTACCCAAATGATGGTGTGATTTTCAGTGTTTGCCCTTCCTCTTTAGCAGAATCACAGCGATAAAAACAAGCTATTGTAAGTGGAAATCTGAGTATCCCAGCTTCATCCCCAAGGCTGATACTTCTTCTTTTGTTCTGCTGTTGATTTTACTGACAGCCTGAACCTACTCACATTCGTATTCTATTTCTGAGTAGGGGTCTGCTCGATCTTTTGTCTGGGTAGAATTGCACAGAAACCTCGAAACTTCTCCGGTAGTACCTAGCAATGTTTCTCAGCAGAGGCCTCTTTGGAATATTGAACTGAAAATGTATCATAGGGTACAGTCCATGGCTAGTCAAGGACAACACTGATGCTTGACTTGTGCAGTCTGAAGCCAGGGAGCCTGTTTCTGTGAAAGTAACGAAGACCCTCATGCCAGTTGAAGTTCTCAAGAAATACTACCATTTTGGTAGTTCTTGGAACTGCCATTTGCTATTCTTTGAATGTAATTTGTCCGCTGAAGGCTCATGTGTTGGAAGTGTGGTCTCCAATGTGGTGGTGTTAAAAGATAGTGAATTTTAAGGGGTGAGGTGTACTGCAAGGTAATGAGGTCATTGGAGGCATCATCCTTGGAAGGGACTCATGCTGGGCTCGTGGAGTGAGGCAGTTTCCACAAGAATAGGCTGTTATTTTTCAAAAATGCCTGGCCAGGATTCCCTCTGGCTCCCTGTCATGCCATGTGATCCCTTCCACACCTACTTCCACCATCTGGATGCTGTCCACAATGAGACGTTGATCAGATCCAAGCCACAGCTGATGCCATGATCTTGGACCTCCAAAACTGTGAGCTAAATATACTTCTTTTCTTTATAAGAACCCAGCCTCAAGTATTCTGTTATAGCAAAGGAAAATGAACCATTGGAGGGCCTCTATCGTTCAACTAATCATTGAACTAATAGATCGTGCACTCTATGTATTTCCCTAGGGCAGATGTTGAAAGGGTAATGGAAAAGAAAGCAGAGGAACCTGGTGGGAGGGGAACTGAGACTGCTTAGTCCCAGCTATAAAATAGCAGGTGCAGAAGGGAGGATTCCAAGGGGTTTTCCCAAACAGAAAGGTAAACCTTTCCCTATCCTGATTTTGTGCTTTCTTGACTTTCTCACAACGCTTGCTTTAGGACAGATCTAGACTCCCTTTAAATGCCTCTTGTATGAGTTGAAAGGTCAACTCTGTTGGTGTGACCCCTCTTCCGTGATTACTACAGTCCTCTGCAGGAAGTTAGGTCCAAGTGGTAACAAACCCCAGTACTAAAGGCCAAGGGACTTCTGCCTTGCCCTGCTTTTCCTCAGTGGCCACCTGCTAAGCCAGGGGGAGATATCTCCTCCGACGTTCATTTCTACAAATTCCAGTTCGAAGTTGAAAGACTGAAAGTAAGTACCTGTGTGTTTTGTTAGACTCTTTCACAGGACTAGTCAACATCTTGACAGATATAATCTGGCGATTCACTGGAGACTTTATGGCGCCTGACCTGGTTTGCCGAGTGGTCCGCTACCTGCAGGTATGTAGCACCTTCCAAATGTGATGACGCAATCTGACGTCAAAGTCCGTTCTTGGGTTCTTCCTATGGGACTCCTGCACCCCCATGCAGCAAACTCTCCACTTCTTTACAAATGAAAAACAAGCAAAATGTGTAAACTCGTTAATGTGTTTTCTTTGTTAAAAATAATACATCTGGGGCCAGTATTGAGGTTTAGCAAGCAGAGCTGCCACCTGCGAGGCGTCTGCTTTGCCACTTGCCACATCGCTATGTGCTCCAGTTTGTGTTCTGGCTGCTCCACATCCGATCCAGCTCCCGGCTAACGGCCTGGGAAAAGCTGCGGGAGATGGTCCGAGGGTTCAGACCCCTACTACCTGTGTGGGGGACCCAGATGGAGCTCTGGCTCCTGGCTTTAGCCTGGCTCATCCCTGGTCATTGCGGTCATCCAGGGAATGTACCAGGAGATGGAAGATCTCTCTGTCTTTCCCTCTCTCTCTGTAACTCTGTCTTCCAAATAAATAAATAAATCTTTTTTTAAAAGTACATTTACAAAACCATAAACAGTAATAAAAATTAACTAAAATTTTAGAGTCAATATTAAGATTTCTGATATTAGCAATAAATAATCTTCAGAAAACTTGTCAATTATATTTCACTTTTAACCTTCAAACTAACACCACACTGGCCAGGAATACTGTTGTTTAAAAAAAAAAAAAAAACTTTGGCAATTCATTAGAAAATAAGGATTACTTATTTAAATAGAACCCAAATGGCAATTTTTCAAATATCTATTGACATTTTTAACTTTGTCTACTCAAAGTTGTTTAATATACTTTTTCAACTTTTTTATAAGTGGGATATTATTTTCTGAGTTTTGCTAAGATCCATTTTTAGATCAAGTATATCTATATTTTGCCTGCCAATATGCCTCAATTTAAGTAACATGTATGCATAATATATATTTGATTTAAAGTAATACATATGTACTACTTACTTGTAGTATACATATAGCACCTATGTGAATGAGTGTTATATAGATCCAGACATTTCAACTGAGTGTAGAAGGAATGGCACATTTAATAGCTGGTGTCAGGCTTGATGTGCTGTGTTCCTAATTCTTCAAATTATGCTCCATGAATGTATTTCTATTCTGATGTCAGTACTTTCGGTCTAAGTTGGTAGCTTTATAGGTGTATGACACATTGCTGAGAAACATTACCCTATAAGGTTTCACTTGGGATTTTTGAGATTTTTCATCTATAAACATAAGTAAAATTATAATCTTTTATTTTACCATTTTCAGAGCTTGGTGATGGAGTTATTCCACCTTCAGAGAATGGGCAGGGAATAGTTACAGTTATGATCTTCTTTTGTTCATAACCTTGAATTTTTGTTAGGTGGGGATGGTAAATTTTTAAAAGATATTTCAATTCCTTCTTGAGGATTTTACTTCCTTATTGATACATGTTTCCAATTGCTTACTGTGTCACAGAGACACATTAGCACAAAGCTTAGCGGCTTAAGACAATAGGCATTTATTATCTCCAAGTTTCTATAGTCACAGTGGAGGAGAAGCGGGGCTGGGCGGAGCTGGAGGCAGGCGTGTTTGCAGATCGGCGCAGACGTCTTGCGGAACTGCGGTCCGTGGAAGGCTGGGCGGGAACTGCACTGCGGGCTTTTACCCGCGTGGGTGAGGCGGAGGGCGGGGTACACACGTCACCGGCAAGTTAGGTGCTGGGTTTTAGTTGAATATTCAGTTCTTCACATAGACCTCTCCATAGACAAACTTCAGGGTCCTCACAGCATAGCAACGGCCTTTTCCAATAGCAACCTATTCGAGGGACTGAAGCAGAAGAGCAATGTATGTGTATGAACTACTCTCAGAGACCTTATCCCACTACCTCACATTAGTCCGTTGGCTGCCTACACCAGCCCTGACCCAGTATGGGCAGAAGGGAGCCACAGAAGGAACTAGAGCGTGACTCGGGACAAGCAGCAGGTTGACAGCCACTCAGACCATCACATTTTTCAGAAGTATGTTATGGAGTTATGCTTTTTTCTAATTGTTAACTTTAAGATGCCTTCTTGATCCGGAGATTATTCGTGTCATTAGCATTTTTTCTAACTATACATATGATGACTATTAAGATAATACTATAAATAAAATATATCTTGATACTATAGCAAAACTTTCTGAGAAAGAAATTCGGGTAATTCCTCCTTCATAAAGGCAGAAAAAAATTGCAAAGCTTCTTAGACTTAAATTTTTCAGCACTCTAGAAATTAACCAAATACCTGAAACAATTCTGGGAATATTTGTTCAAGAAAATGTCTAAAACTCAATCAGAAAAATAAGCGCTGTGGTGGCTTAGCTTGCATTATCCTCCTCTCCCAGGATCCAGCTCTGTGGTAGCCTTGGAAATTAACAGCTCTCATTCACAGCGAAAACAAACCGTGTGGCAGCTGCAGGAGAGAGCAGAACACAGCCAGAACTCCTTCAAGGCCTGATTCCCGGAACACTGCCTTTATTTGACATAGCTGTCAGTCTCCCCGAAGACCCTTACTCGCAAGGCTGGCTGTATTTTCCTTTATTCTGAACTCTCCCAACTGTGAAAAACCTTTTCCCTCTGGGAATTTGTCAAAAACAGTTATGAGCAATTGATTAACTTCACAGATGCCTGCGGTATCAGCGACAGTTGGGAAAGCAATAGACTAACCAAATCTTCAAAAACATAATCTGAGTAATGAGCTGTTCTTCGGGGCTTTGAAAATCTCTGACGTACTCCTAAGAATCTAGAAGACCGAGTACGCATGTGCCCAGAACTGTGCCTGAGCTCAAGGAGACACAGAGAAGGCCCTTCGCTGCTGTCTTTGACTGACTTGAGGCATTTGACAAAATTCAACATCTTTTCAGTTAAAAAAAAAATCAACAAGTTATGTATGGAAAGAATGTAGCTCAACACAATAAAGGCTTTAGATGACGCGGCCACAGGTAACATCTACTCAAGAGCAGTAAGTTCAATATTTTTTTTTTCTCTAAGATCAGGAACAAGACAAGGATATCCACTCTGATCATTTCTGTTCCAGTGCAGTGCACTGGAAGTCCTGGCCAGAACAATTAAGCAAGAGAGAAATAAAAGGCTTCCAAAGCAGGAATGAAGTCTCTGCTTGCAGATAATGTGATCTTACAGTGAAAAAACTCGAAGGACTCCGTAAAAGAAACTTAATAAATCCAGAAAAGTTTTAATAATATCAAGATTGCGGGGCCAGTACTGGGGCATAGCAGGTAAATCCATTGCCTGAGATGCAGCATCCCATATGGGTGCCAGTTCATGTCCCAGCTGCTCCACTTCTGATCCAGCTCCCTGCCAATGGCCTGGGAAAGCTGTAGAGAATGGCCCAAGAGCTTGGGTTCTTGCACCCAAGTGGGAGACCTGGATGAAGCTCCTGGATCCGGGCTTCAACCTGGCCCAGCCATGGCTGTTACAGCCACCGGGGGAATGAACCAGCAGATGGAATATCAATTATTCCTCTGTGTGTGTGTGTGTGTGTTTGTCTGTCTCCCTCCCTCCCTCTGTAACTCTTTCAAATAAAATAAATAAATTTTTAAATAATAATAAAAAATAGTATGACATAAGATAGTTAGCTTGACTTAGCAATCCCACATATATATATAAACATCATATACAGCATAAATATAATTTATATTTTCCAATTACACAATGATTTGAGAAATGAAATCATTAAATTAAAAACAGAAAGCCAATAATGCAAATCAACTAAATGAATTATCTGTTTCATTGAAAAAGATAATAAAATTGATAAATTTCAAGCCAGGCTAACCAAGAAAAGAAGAGGGAAGAAACAAATTGCCAATATCAGAAATGAGCAAAGGTCACCACCACTGCTCCCATGAATATGATGAGTCATAAGTGAACATTCTGAACAACTCAGTGCTCACAGGGTTAGTAAGTTAGATGAAACGGAATAATTCATCAGAAGATATAATCCACCAAAAATCACATAAAGCAAAATAGATCTGAATAGGCTTAAAAGTACTAAAGAATATATCAATAATTAATGATCTTCCAAGAAAGGACTAGGCCCAGATAGGTGCTCTGGTAAATTCTACAAGCATTTAAGGAAGAAATAATTCTCCTAAATCTCTTCTAGAAAGCAGAAGCAACATTTCCCAAGTCATTCCATGGGGCCATCATTCCCCTAATACTGAAACCCAAAACATTACCAAAAAAGGAAAAGTACAGACCAGCATCCCTCATGAACATAAATGCAAAAAATTTCAACAATTATTAGCAAATTGAATCCAATAAGATAAATAAAAGACTGTGCACCATTCCCAAATAGGATTTATTCTAGGTATGCAAATCTGCTTAAATATTTGAAAATCAATGTAGTCCTTCATATTAGCAAGGTTAAAAAAGAAAAATTATGTGATTAATCAGTATAAGGATACAACAAAAAGTTTGTGGACAAATTGAATTAAAAAGAAAGTTTATTTGGGGGGCAAGTTTTGAAATTCATATATAGTTTTTCTTTCAAATGGGAATTTTCCATGAATTTTTAAAGATTCTTTATAGTTGCAGAAAAATATATAACAACATTCTGTCTACGATAAAAATTCAGAAAATTAGGAATAGAGGAACTTCCTCAACTTGATCAATAATATCTATAAAATATCAACAGCTAACCTTATAGCTAATGAAGAGAAATTAAGTGATTTCCTCCTAGGATTGGGAACAAGGCAAGAAGGCCCTCTCTCTTCCCTGCCCCATTCAAAATTGTACTAAATTTCCTATCTAATTTAAGAAAATAAGAAATAGAAATACAAGAGTTGAATATTGGAAAACGGAAAATGAAAATGTGTTTTTCCATAGATAGATGATTGTCTATGTCGAAAATAAAAGAGTAAACCAAAAAAAGGTCTGGATGTAGTAGGCGAAAATAGCAGGTTTGCAGAATACAAGGGTAACAAATGTCCATTGTCTCTTCCAGCAATGAAT